CATCAAAAGCTGCCCACAACAATCAACTAAAAAATAGAGAAAGAAAATATATAGCATTCTTAATCCATAGTTCTTCCAAGAACACATAGCAAACATCCAATCCAATCGTCCCACATATATTCATTCAAATCCACAATATCAAGTAGATATCAAAGTCGGAAAACAACCATGAGAAACCCATCTCCGGCGTCATCATCACCGTCGACAACGAAAGCACCATCAGCGAAAACAACGAAGACTCCATGCTGCAGCAAGGTGGGGTTGAAGAGAGGGCCGTGGACGCCTGAAGAGGACGAGCTCCTTTCCAATTACATCAAGAAGGAAGGCGAGGGACGGTGGCGAACCCTTCCCAAGTGCGCAGGTCTACTCCGCTGCGGTAAGAGCTGTCGCCTTCGCTGGATGAACTATCTTCGACCTTCTGTCAAACGTGGACAGATCGCCCCAGATGAGGAGGATCTCATTCTCCGCCTCCATCGCCTTCTTGGCAATCGGTCCGTCAGCATTTTACTTTTTACTTTCCTTTTTTCATCATTGGTTCATTTCTTCGAGCGTATTATGATTTCATATAGTGCAAATTAATTCTAATCAATTATAGGGTTTTACTTCTATATCAAACTCAAATTTACTTATATGTTTTTAATCATCTAGATCTTTTTCAAAAACCCTAATGATTTTGAAAGATCTAAATTAGGGTTTTTGTGGTTTATGTAGGTGGTCTTTGATAGCCGGAAGAATTCCGGGACGGACAGATAATGAAATAAAGAACTACTGGAACACTCACCTGAGTAAGAAGCTGATAAGCCAAGGAATTGATCCGAGGACCCACAAGCCTCTAAACCCTGACCAGTCCTCTAATGATCTCAAGGCTAGTTCCTCCAAATCCAATCGCAATGTGGCAGAAACTCCAAACCCTAAACCTACCAACAACCATGATTCTTCTAGCTTGGAAGAGACTAGCAGTGGCCACAAAGAAAACCCATCCCTGGATCACTATCAAAGTGGGATGATGACCTCGGGTTTTGGTGGTGGCTACAGATTCACTAGCTTGCTCAACTGTGATGATTCTGTGATAGACATGAGGAGCAATAACAAGCGAGGGTTTAGCAATAATGAGGAGGATGAGAATATCAACGACTGCACTGATGATGTTTTCTCATCATTTCTAAACTCATTGATCAATGAAGATGCCTTCCCTAGCCAACATCAACTAATGCATTATCAAGGCAATGAGATTGCACCTGGTTCAGATCCTTTGATTTCAATGCCTGCATCAGCTTTCAGGCTTGGGATGACTAGTTGGGAGTCTTCACTTATGTCTTCAAATTTCATCCCAAATGATCCAAAAGAGGGTTAATACATGAAGCACATGAAATATGGCCACTGCCTAATTATGAGATTATAAGAATCCTACCTAGCTAAGGGTTTGTGTTGTCATTTTATGTATGATGTTTCTATTTATTCTAGATCCACTCCTTGATAATATAATATCATATCATATTATTGAGGTTCTTAGGCTTATATATGGTGCTGTATTTGTAGGCAACCATATATATATGAGTGGAACAAGCTAGACTGATTTGTTTATGTATGTATGTGACTTGGTTTTCTTAATTATATAATTAAAGTTTGCTAGTGTGTGTTGTATATTGTAGCTTGTTAATTCTTTAGTTTCTTCCATTTCTAAAGTTGCACAATTGAATCCATCAATGATAAATATGCTATTTTGCAAAACTTTAATATGCATACATTTAACAAATTGTGATCTTAATTCAAATGGATCAATAATATGTATAGATGGTCCTATAAATTGCTTTTAGTTACTTTAGGTTGAAATCACATTGGAGGCATATGCGATTTGCTCCATTTTTAGTGTGCTTTGCTTATATCTTCTTACATTCTTTCTTATTGTTAATTCTACACCACAATTATCAAGGATATAAATATATTTTGAAAATTTGTAACTAGATGCGCAACACAAAGAAGAAATGACTCAAGTGACATATATTATGATATCATGTAAGGCTTACGTGCAAGTGCATATGCATATAATGCTTGCGTGTGTAAATACTTTTTGACATGCAAGTATGCTTCTCAAGCGTGACGAGTTTGCATTCTGATACATGTGTATATTAGAGATTTAAAAATATTAATTATGCAATTAATTTACAAGTTAAAGGGTTTTTGACATAATATACATTAATGTATAGATTGTAATTGGTTACATATATAGCATGATCCCTTTAATTCATTACAAAAACAAGTCACATAACCAATTTAAAATGTGAGCTCTCCATATGGCACGATTCATGCTTATGTTGCTTATTATGGTGATATGCCTAGTGTAACCAAACAATGTTTGGAGTAATTTGAGTATTATCATTAATTGTATATATCCTCAATCTTATCATATCTTGTTCTTAGTTTCTTCAAAAATATATATAAAAAATTCGGGCTCTAAGAATATATATAAGTTTTATGAGATAAGTTGACAAATGAAGATATATAGATGAACATGTTATTTAGAGTGGAGGAAGAGGAATCTCTCATTGATTTTGGGTCTTTGAATTTATGAGATGGACTATGAACAAAAATTTAGAATTTTAAACTTTAGTTTACTGGAATGAACTAGCCTTCCATCTCTAATTAAAAAGAAATTTTTTGAACTCTTTTTTGTTTACACCAAGGTGAGTCCTAATTAAATCCTAGTAGTAAATATATCTACCATCATATGTATTATAGAGAAAAGTAAAATCATGATATCCTATCACTTTAAATGTTAGAATTTTTTGTGAAATTGTTTAAATAATCCTTAATAAACCTCTTTTTTTTTTTTAGTTGATTCATTTAAGAGTCTTTTAGTTTTTTTCGTTATTATTCTAACATTTTAATTGCCAAAATGTCCTAATTTTCCTTAATCCCTATTATATTTAAATCTATAGATTTTTTTTTTAATTAATCAATATGACATCTTTTCACTAAGACAAAAACCTAATAGAATATAAAATAGCAACTACTTTCTTTATTCCAAAATAACTATTTTTTTACCTTTTTTTTTTTTTCAAATTAAGAATTTAGGAACAATTTATATATTTATCTGCATTATCTTTAGAATAAAGTTAAAGGATAAAGTGAGATTTTTTGTGATAAGATAATTAATTAAAATAAATGGATAATGATAGGGTTAAAACAAAAAAATATATATTTATATACACTAAAAAAATGAAAAAATGACAATTAATTTGAGACAAATTTAAAATTAAAAAGTAACAATTATTTTGAGATAGAATGAGTATATATGAAGCATTCAAACTTTCAAAAAATCAGGTACTGTTACAAATTCTATGCATGGGCCAATAACCTCAACAATTCAGTAATAATCTTTTTTTAAGTTAATTAAGCATGTAAAAGATCTTGAATTTGAGTTATAGGCATGCTGGTGGAATGAGTAATGAAGAGACGGTTGTACAACTTAAAATAATAATAAAAATATCCCATGCATGGTTGACTATGTGTTATTTTTCTTCCTGAAAGATAATTTGAAAATCCATCAATCATTCAACTAGAATGCATATGTAACTATGGGAAATCAACCACTTACTAGCTATTATCAAGAAAGAAGACCATTGCCATGTGCCAAATTGAACAAGTTTTAAACCATGCAGTTGCATTTGCAAAGCTACCTATATAAACCATATAAGACAAGATCAATATAACCACTAAACTCACATAATCGATGCAAAAAAAAAAAAAAATTTTCTTGTAATAATCATTTGTAAATATCGCTTTAATCAAGCCTAAGTAATAGAGAAATGATAATGTTACAATTACAATATCATGTAAAATTGTAAATTTATAATGAAGACATGTCATTAAATAAGTGTAATAGGTCATTAAATGAGTGGATGCATATAATATTATGAATGGATTCTTGAAAAAAAAAACTAATTATATAATGACACATTATTATTCAAAACAATATAATAATATATTATATTACAAGTTTACAATATCACATGATATTGTAACTGTATCATTATCAATAAACTTATTATACCCATCTTATATAGATGGGTAGATAACCAAAATAAAAAATAAAAAAAATAAACTTATTATAATTGAATCAGATAATAACTCAGAAACTGAGCTAAAAGTCTCGGTTGTATATAAACATTGAGCCAAGGACCTTATTCTATAATCGTCATCAAGCCTAAGAAAAATATAAGGTATAATTTTCAGCTCCCTCATCTGCCCAAAAAACACCCATAGGCAGCATTTACCCCCATGTACTCATTCTAAGGACTTCAATTTGGAGTAGGCAAAGTGCAAAAATTAAGTTGTTAAAATCCACAAGCTAAAGATTTTGGGCTTTATGTAGCATGTTGGTATTTATAAGAAAATGGGTAAATGAAGACATGACATCAACTTTGCATTTTTTTGTATTTAAGGATGTTAATTTTGTTATTTTCGAAATAAAGATGTTAACTTTTAATTTTTTTTATTTAAAGATGACAATTTTTAACTTTTTTCTATTTAAGAATTAATTGAATAGTAATATTAATATGATAAATAGACTTTTTAATTAAAATATTTAAAGTTGACATTCTTATATTAAAAATATTAAAAATTGACATCTTTAAATTACAAAATATATATAATTAATATTTTTATTTACAGTTTTTCTCAATTTTATTATGGAGCTCTACCTATTGTATTGTCCTAAAGTTAAAAGTGCCCGAGTTTTTCACACAAATAGGTTTGTGCCAAATAATGGACTCAATTGATTTTGAGCCAAGGGCTAAGCCCAAGTTCATTTAAACTAAACTATGGGCTTCTCAGACCCATTGTCAAGCACAACCAACTAACCTAGATGTTATAGTTTCCAACCAAAAAACCCACAACAACTACTGGTCCAAATAAAATAAAAAATAAGAAACTACTCCCTATAAATTTTAAATTTTATCTAACTCTAACTAATGGTCAAGTTTTCTTTTTGTATTTATTTACCTACTTTAGAACATATATATACCTAAAATTTTAGTTTTGCCCCTTCAAAAATAACTAACGGTCATAACTGTTTAGTCCAACATTTTCCCCTCAAATTCTCTTCAATGAAACTTTCTCCTTCCTCAGGTAAACACTAATTTTGTTTTGAGTCTTACTCTAAATTTCTTATTTTGGTGCAGTTCAAATTACAATAAATTACAAAATATAAACATTAAATTGAAGAACAATCCTAATATTAAAGGGCTTACATCCTACTTAATAGTTTTGATTATATGGTTTGGAGTGGTAAGTTGCACAATACTATTTCGTATAATTTCGAGTAAGCATTAAACCATTTCATGTGTTAACGTTTACATTTTCTTGTGCAATAAAAAAGCGAAATGCATCTATATTTGACTAACAAAATTCATACCCACCTTTCATGTATCTAAGGATTGAGATTTTGTTTGACAATACTTTTTAAAAATATTTCTCACATGGTATCTTATTTAATTATTTTTTATATATTTATTAATTTTAAATAATATTTTATATATCGTTAAGATAATTTTTTTAATATAATAAATACATATTTTTATTATAAATTTAAATTAAAAAATAAAAATTAACTTTTAATTTATCAATTATTTAATTAAATTAATTCACTTAATACTTACACTAAAACTAACATTAATTTTTATATTTTTTTATATGTATTTATGATAAAAAATATTTTTAATTTTTATCCATAAAACATATGTGACAAAAACTCTTTTAAAATAATAAAAACTAAAAAAAAAAATTATATTTGTAGTTACAGTGGAAACACGTAACACTCCCAAACGAAGAAGATTAAATTTTCACGTACGTTTAGTTCTGCAACTTCATTAATATCAAGTTATCAATCTTATAATTGAATGTAAGAAAATTTGAGATAATGATGTTTGACTAGGACCCATTAATATGAAAGTCTAAAGAATCTGAACTACCAGTCTCTACATTACAAGATGAGATTGGTAGATGGTTGACTTGTTGTAGACCCGTATTTACTAGTCTTCCTTCTACAACTTGTTTGACTATTTATTTTCCTTTCATTTCTTCTTTCTTGGCAATTTCACCGAAAAGCCTCTTAATTAATTATTTTAAGAAAAATAATATTTGCAGGCCGAATATTGTGAAGCTGAATGTATGCCTAATATTATAAAGGGTAATGAATGTAGGGTAACATTTTCATATAATTTTTTATATAATTTTTACTTATTATTAAATAAATTGATGCAGATTATATAACATTTTTTAGTAGAATAAAAAGAGATAATTATTAAATAATATATAAAGTTGTATGAAAAAATTGTATAAAAGATTTGTCTCTCAATCATTTTCCTTTTATAAGCCATTGATTTAGGTGTGAATCTTACCTCACCTTTTATGATTTCCATTTTAGTTCGTCAGACAATGAATTATATAATAACAGTAATTCTCCTTTTTTCCAAACCTTTACCTACTCATATGAGAATTTAAACTTTAAATCTTCAATATAGAGACTCAAATTTTTAATCATTAGAATGTCTTTTAATAAACACCCTTTATGAAATGACACAAAAAACTTTCAACTTGAATTCGATCTTTTCTTCTTTTTACCTATGAATCTTTTTTGTAGTTTTAGCCCATGAGTCTTCTTCTTTGAAACATTTTAAAGTGTGTCTGGTTTGGCTGATTTTATCATCATATAACTTTATTTCTTAAATAACTAGTTAAGGTATTTAAAAATAGCAACATATAAGTTAATTTCAAATTATTAAATAATAAATATCAACTATTCTATCCATTGTTCCTAAGAATCAAACCAAAACAAAGCATTAGATACAAACCCTAAACGGTCCAATATCCTCCTGATCAGTCCCTACCATACATTATACTATATATACGTTATATTCTATAAAAATATGATTATAAGGTTGTTTTTCTTGTTTTCTAAATACAACCACTTCTATGAATTTTTTTGGACCAAAAAGACATGCTCTAGCATATATAGTGTTATTCGAAGAAGGGGTTAAACCAAAAATGAAATGGCCACCCAACCTAAAAATGGGAATAAATATGATGGTTAAAAACTCATTATTTCTTGGCAAAAAAAATAAACAAATAAACATGGCCATGCATTATTTTATCTTACATGAGATCTAGACTTGCATTTCACAGATATTTCTCCAAATGCACTCAAAGCTAAACCATCACTAATTTGATTCTATATACATTACTATTTTCATCAATTTTTCTCAATCTCTAGGAAGAAATTAAAAAATTAATGTTACCATTCAAACCTACCTTTCTCTGTGAACAAACTCAATTCCCAAGGTACTTCAAAATCAAACAACGCAAAAACAAAACCAAATGGCCTATCATTCATGCCTCCAAAGTCCAAACACAAAACTCTCTTAATAAATATATCCAAATAGATTAATTAGTCCCTTTTCATGATCATTCATCAAAAGCAAACATCTTCTTTCATGTTCCTAACTTAATTAACATGCAAGTATTGACATGAAATATAACATAGAAAGCAAAGCAAAACCAAAACTAAAATTTTTTAACTTAATTACCTGAATTGAAGGATATTAATCCTTGGACATAAGCGTGCCTATCTGCATGATCTGGAATATTGCCCAAACTTATAGAATAGAGGATTCCTTTTTTCTGCTGCTTGTAAAGCGTAAGCAGTTGAAGCAGGGATCTTGTACCCTTTAACTTTGAGGGCTAGCTCTCTGCTTGAATTTTGGACAGAATGCACTGGAATATCATGAAATGAAACAAAAATGGGGTTCATGGAAAGATCTCAGTGGCATTAAAATATGATGAGAGTGGGAAAGGTTATGTTTTATCTGAGACTTTGTACCAGAAAAAAGTTGAAGAAGGTGGTGTTTGTTTATAAATAGCTGAGGGGAGAGGAGGGGAGGGGTGGGAAGGACAGGTGTGGGTTTTGTATTGGGTGGAATGGAAGCGCTATTGCACCCAGTGGAAGAAATGCAGGGGAAGGGGGATGGGCTGACTTTGGAATTGAATGGTAGATTTTGTGGGGGATGACCGGTTGGGCCCGTCATTGGGATTTGGGCAAGGATCGTCATAGTAGACCATGGCCAACCAAACGTTCTAACCAAATTATAGGGGTCAGAAAATGTTAGCCAGACCAACCCTTCTAGCTGTATGAACTTGGAATGATGATTTTCCTTTCTTTTCTTTCTTTAATTTTCTATTTATCTTTGAATATGAAAAAAAAGAGCACTACATGCACACGTCAATCATGCTTAGGCTTCATTTCACATTGTTGTAAAGTACCATGTTATACAATAATTGTAATGGTAGGAATATTTTTTGCCTTTAATTTCACAAAATATATAAAATAATATCTAAATATTAAAATTATTAATTAATTAATTAAAATTTATATTTTTCAATAAAGTATTAAGCAAAAAAGTATTGTGTAAATTACTATTGTAACACTCTAAATCATACATATTGAAAAGGAAATGTGAGAGTGATTGTATATAATTATTATTATTAATTATCACTAATAACTTGAATTTAAACTTTGATCATTTCAATTACTTTTAGATAAGATACTTTGTGAAAAAGTATTATGTGCCACCATCTCAAGTGAAGCCTTAAACCCTAAATTTATCAAAAGTGTTTTTTTTAAAAAAAAAATTATACAATGAAGGATTACTAGTCTCTCTTATCCATTTACCCACATCATATGTATGCTTAAAACTTGAACCTAACTAAAATCTTTTATTTTATTTGAAGAAGAGATTACCAATAATTAAACCACTTCAATTGTTAATACATTTATCAAAAGGACAATAATTGGTATATATTTTAATTTAACATATTGCACAAGATCTGTAATAAAAATTATTATTTTTTAATCTAAAATTAAAAATAAATAAACCTAAAAATATAGTTATGTATACATGATGCATGAACCAACTAAATTGAGCTATAGCTATATATATTATATTTTAACACATAAAACGGCAGAAAATGTATTAAATTAAATGTGTATTAATCACTTTTCTTATATAAAAATATTGTGTCAAAAAGTACTGTGTACAACAATTTCGGATGCAATAGTGCAATACCAACTGTTTAGTGATAAAAAAAGACATTACGAGGGCGGCAAAAATATAAAATAAAAAAACGACTTGATGAGGGCTTTTGGAGAGGACAGTATTATTGCTAGAAACAGCAACTCACAGTCAAATGGTGAAACGGTGGGGTTTTATGGTAACCTATCCCTATTCTGTACATTCGGCCAAAAAAATGTCTAAATAGTAAATACCATAAAATCTAAGGGCTAATATACTTAATGGCGCGTTTGAGTTGACAGAAACGTAAGGAGAAGAGGCAAATCAGCCCCTGTACTCTTCAATTGGTGGTAAATTAGTCTCTCAACTAAATATAGATGCTTTTAAACCCTTATACTCTTCAAATGGAACGAATTAGCCTTTAAGTGAGGGCTTAGGTTAGTACAAAAAGTCAAATCGAATAGATGAATTGGAATGGAAGGACTACGTTTACCCCAATTAAAATTTTCTAATTATTGCCTTTCTTTAAAATATAAATGATTTTTACTTAAAAAAAAAGATAGAGAGTATTAAGATAATGAAATCAAGATTACATATGAATTCATATTTTACGGCCTATAGTCAAAGTAGAAACATATCCTATTACACTAGATACAAATGAAAATTATGGTCATGACTAATATAAAACAATTATTTATAAAAAGTCATTTACACAAAGATTACAATAGTTATTGCTATAAGAGCGTAAATAGAGCTACTATCATAGAAAAATGTCGTTATAAGCATCTTGGAGATTTTCAATTGTTATGTTAGTTTTTGTGGGAAAAACAAAAAGTTTGACAAACATTAGTCCTCACCATTGAATGTTGTACTAAAGAGGAGATGCATTAGTTCAAAGGGGAGTTGGAATCTTCTCCATAGATCACTCAAACCATGCCTAAATTAATCCAACAAAGAGAGTTTGAGTCTTCGCGAACATTATAATCATGCCACCAACAATTGAAGTAAGTGTCGCAAGTTCAAGCTTAGCTACCCTTACAATTATATTGCCGTCCTCTTCAAACCAAGGTGAAACTTAATAATAATAATAATAATAATAATAATAATAATAATAATAAAGACATTGAGAGAGGCCAAGCAAAGAACCCTAAAAACCAAAGTAACTGCTACAATTAATGTAAGCGTTGCTAGCCTCACAACTGTGTTGCCGTCCTCTTCAAACCAAGGTGAAACTTAATAATAATAATAATAATAATAATAATAAAGACATTGAGAGAGGCCAAGCAAAGAACCCTAAAAAAGAGAGACGAAAGAATCCCACAAAAAAGAGAAAAACTCTAAAAAGGATAGAAGAATTCCCATCTTTATTCATTCTTCCTAACCTCTAAGAGGGAGAGAGACAACATAAGGGAGGAAAGAGAAGCAAGGAAGAAAGGAAAGTATTTGGGTGAAAGAGGGAAAGGGAGGGGTCGGCGGCTAGGGCCTGGAAGATCTAGAAGTAGTTTTCTTGGCACGTATCTTCAAGCAATGCTTCATCATGGCATAAGAGGTTTTCTTTTCTTTTTTTTAAGTTTATGTTAAGTAGTTTCATTTTATTTAAAAAAAAAATTCATTTATCATTTACATATTATAAAGAAACTATATATTGTCTAAAAATACATGAAAAAAAGCAAACAACTTATATTTTACAATAGAGGGAGTACTAGTCACATTTCCCAACTTCTCTTTTTTTTTTCTTTTTATACATTAAAAAAAGTTAATTACTTAGTAGTATAAGAATTCAAACTTCAAATCTAAAATTTTAAATTAATGATACAAATTCAGTAAAGTTTTTTTTATTATCCCAATTCTCATTAATATATTGAATCTTTAGTTAGAAGTGAAAGAAGACTAAATATGGAATTTTATTCCGTACTCTTCTATTCCAAAATAAATATCTTTCTTTAAAAAATTTTATTCTAGATTATTTTTTAAAATAAATATTTTTTTTTATTCTATTGTTGTTCTTTATTTTTAACTATTCACCCTATTACTAAAATCTTTTTATTAGCTTAAACTTTTCTTTAAGAGTAATTTTTATATATAATATAGTTAAATATATAAATAGACCAAAAAATTTTAACATTTTAAAGAAACTGTAAAAAAAAAAAAAACCATTATCATTTATTTGGGATGGAGGAAGGAATAATTGTATTTTACTAGTATAATGGTGTGAGGAAAGGAAAAATGTCACAAAGCAAATTAAAACGGATGAGTGAGTCAATTTCCATTACATAATGTCAGAAAAATAAAGTTATAATTTATTAATTTGAATGAAAGAATCTCAATCTTTTTAAATGAAGGATTCTGTAAATCTAGAAGCAAATTATAAAGAACTGATTCTAAATTACTTTAAAATTCAATGTGATTTCCTTAATAGCTGAGGATTAATGAAAAAAATAATAATAATGTAGAAAAACGAAGAAACAATGGCGTTTTGTTTTATTATTATTATTATTATTATTTTTCATGCCATCAGTCGGCCAATTGTTTATCATTCGAACGCTCCGGGGTCTCAGATACTATATTTTCCGTCTTGGAATCTTAAGTGGGTAGGTGGCGGCGTGGGGCGTTAGAAGAATGAAACCAGCGGGTAGAAGGAGGTAAAATTTTCTGCATCACACTGAAACAGAGTAGCAGAAACATTGTTTTTCCTCAAATCAACCAAAACCCACATCCCATCTGTTCTCAAAATCTTGACTGTATCAGACAATGGAGCAAGTAGAAAACAAGCAAGTGATACTCAAGAGGTATGCGGTGGAAGCACCAAAAGAGACAGACATGGAAATCAAGATTGGGAAAGTGAAGCTCAAGGCACCAAAAGGTTCTGGTGCTTTTCTTGTCAAGAATCTGTATTTGTCTTGTGACCCTTACATGAGGGGCCGCATGCGTGACTTCCATGGCTCTTATATTTCCCCTTTTGTTCCTGGTCAGGTATTCGTATCTTCTTTCTTGCCTCTTCTTTTTTGATCTTGTTTATTGGGGTTTTCTGGGATTGTGTTACTTAATTTTGTGTTCATTTGGTATATGATTGCATACGGTGATGTCCCCACATTTCTGTTCCTGACATCCGGTTCAAATGTTGATTCTGCTGCTGTTTAAACTACTTTGGAAATTTACAATTAGAGATAATTTTGGTTGTTGCTTGTTGGTTGCAATAAGTGGGGATTGTGATACCCGCAAACAAAAAAAAAAAAAAAAAAAAAGTGCAAAAAGTTAAAAACTTCTGGAGGGTTATGCTAGTACTGTAGTATTCGACAAATACCTGTTGGGTTCTGAATTTTATTGTTTCATATTTGAATTACCCGGAAATTTATCTTGGTAATGTGGCAAGGCTGTGGTGATTTGGTTTTCAGACAAAATATGTGATTGATTGCCCACAGAATGTTGATTTACAAGATTCTGATGAATCTGTTTATTTGCCCAAGTCTGGTTTTTGATTTTGAGTGCAATCTTGGAAATTAAGTCCAATTGATGGTGTGGCATATTTAGATGCAGCATGGCAAGCCTAAGTTTTATCATACAAATTGAATGATGTTGATATCCATCAGACAATTAGACTTCCTAAGAGGTTCTCCGTTGGTTCAGCTTTGGCTTCTGGTGCTTCTGTAGGGGTGCACAAACTAAAGCACCTGCTGCCTAGGCCACTTTGTGTCTGTTAGGAACAAGATTAAAATCTTGATTTCTCATTCCATATTGAAAATGTACATGCTTTTTCTGACATGACTTATTAGATTTATTTTCGTCAAACAGTTTAATCTCCTTTCATGCTAGAATAGCATATTCTTTTTTATCAAAAATGAAAAATGAAAAACTTGAGATATTGCTGAAATTTGGTAAGAGTTGTTCAAAGGCAGGGTAGAATATTGTTTATATGAGTTTTATTTAATCATTAAGTCATGGTATTTTTGACTCATCAAAATATTCAGAAACTAAGCAATTGTAGTCAAAGTGCTATTAAACATGTATGTTGATGTTACCTGTTCATCAAACATTGTGAAAACATGAAAGAGGATAAGTGTTTTTTTGGGGATGATTTTATTATCCTACTCATTCTTCCAATCACTTAGCAATTTTGTTTATTTTAATGAAGCCCATTCAAGGATTTGGTGTGGCAAAAGTAGTTGACTCTGATAACCCAGACTTCAAGCCGGGAGATATGGTTGCAGGAATAACTGGGTGGGAAGAATATAGCTTGATTGACAAAACATTGCAGCTCAGAAAAATCCAGCCAGATAGTGATATCCCTCTATCATACCATGTGGGTCTTCTTGGTATGATCTTGCATCTCTAGACTTGAAATACTTCAGTTAATGTATGTAATTACTCTTCTTTTAGTTTCTGAAGACATATTGATGAACTAACTTTTTGGGTTACACATCTAAACATTTGGTTTCAAAGCAGAAAACTCATGGCCTCTATTGGTAAAGTTGTCTTAAATGCCAGCATAGCATGAATAAAATTTCCTGCAAGTCCTCTTGCTTAACCCATGTCAAAGAAGTGACAATAAATGGGGATTCTCTTGGGTGACTAGAATTAAGTTGGTTCTGACCCTTTTGCAATACCCTACTTGTAAGGTCTAACAAGGCAACTTGGCATTTTGCATCTCAGGTGGACACCTTGGTTTGCATTTCTGAAACAAATTAACCCACTACGTTAACAAAAAAAATACAGAAGCAGAAAACTGCTTGGTACTTGTACTGAGCTTTTAAAGGAAACTAACTGAAAAAAATGATCATGTAGTATTCATAATATTTTTTTTAGTAGACACTCCAGTCTTCATGAAGGAATTTAGTGGTAGCATGAGTCTAAGTGTCTTTGATATTTTTCCAATTATTTTTTCTGGCTTAAGCAAATTTTGAACTTTCAAATTTGTTCAGACCTACTTTGATGTTCATGTGATGCCTAGAGCTCCTTTTCTTTGCCAATATTATATGCATGCTCAGACTGTCACTGGGCCACTTTTTTTGCATGTCATTTTTCTCATGGTACATCTGTTGTAAAATTTGTGTATTTTTGTCGACTTATGCACAGTGTTAAAGGAAGGTAGCTCGTCTCCAACCCTTTCTAACTAGCCTTGAAAGAATAGCAGACAATCTGTTGACCAAAACTCTCTTCACACAATGATGTTGTTCAACGTTCATTTCTTGGGCAGTCAAGAACAATCATAGAAATTAATCAAAAACCTTAACCATGCTGCCTGTAATTTATATTTTTGCAAATCACATAGCTTAGTTCTGTTGTCTTCAATGTGCCATACCTTTCTATTTGGTTAGGCTCTACATATCTAGAGCCATCACTGATACAGATATTCTCCGTAGGTATGCCAGGTTTTACCGCTTATGCAGGATTCTATGAAGTCTGTTCTCCCAAGAAGGGTGAACATGTTTTTGTCTCTGCAGCCTCAGGAGCTGTAGGTCAGCTTGTTGGGCAACTTGCTAAGTTGCATGGCTGCTACGTGGTTGGAAGTGCTGGGAGTAGTGAAAAGGTAAATTTTCTTCAGTCATATTAAATTACAAATTTCACGTCAGAGTTATTTTTATAGACACTGAGTTACTAATGTTTCATGACAGTGCTTACTGTCAACTGATAAAGTACAATGAGAATTGATATAAAATCTGGCACTTAGGTTGATCTTCTAAAGAATAAGCTGGGATTTGATGAAGCCTTCAACTACAAAGAGGAGACAGACCTTGATGCTGCCTTGAAACGGTTAGTAATAAACCTTCAAAAAAGAATCAGGATAAAGAATTATTTTGCATTGTTTTTCCAAGTTTTCTTAAAGGATGTTCAGCAGTACCATCCCACTACCATCTGGTAAGTTAAACATTCAATTAAGCTGAAGCTGCAGATATGATATTGAAGCATGACTTATTTCAGCAATGATTATACAGAACATTTTAGATCTCATCTTAGGAGTGGGATTATATATGAAGTTTTCCATTTCATCAGAGCTTTGGGCACAATCAACCATAACGAAGGGAGTGTAGGAGCAAAAACTGCATGAATACACGGATACTTTCTATTAGTTATGTTTTTATGAAAGGGTTTCATCACGTTTGATTTCTGGTTCTCAAAACAGGTACTTCCCTGAAGGCATTGACATCTACTTTGACAATGTTGGCGGGCCCATGCTTGATGCAGCATTGCTGAACATGCGTGTTCATGGTCGTATAGCAGTTTGCGGAATGGTGTCTCAGCATGGATTTTATGATCCCCAAGGGATCCACAATTTGTACTTCATGATACCAAAACGTGTTAGAATGCAAGCATTCTTGCAAACTGATTACTTGCATAAGTACGCGGAGTTCTTGGACCATGTAATTCGGAACTACAAGGAAGGGAAAATTGTGTACGTTGAAGATATGAATGAGGGTCTGGAAAGTGCTCCAGCCGCTTTTGTTGGTCTGTTTTCTGGGAAGAACGTCGGTAAGCAGGTTGTATGTGTTGCCCAAGAATGATTCTATTTTAACATGATGTTCGCTAATAAAATTTGAAAATACTAAATCTCTCCTGACCTCGAGAGTTTTCATATATCGTGTGGTTATACCACTGAGATATGTAGCAAATCAATAACAATTTAGCATTTCAATGACAATAAGGTGTTATTACATTGGTGGGAAGCGAGTAGTACCTTTTGCCAAATGTTGTTTTGACAATTTTAACCTATGCTTTTATGGGGTAAGGGTGAACCGTGCCTCAGGGGGAAGGGTGAGCACTGCCTCAAATACTGGGGAAGTGAAGCTGCCGGTTAGAACAGTTGACATGAGTCCTTGAAATGTGTCCCGGTGATAGAATGTGTCCCGGTGATAGAGGACAGTCCTGGGCAGCCGGCGCATTATATTTCTGATAGCACCCCACATGTGAAAATGATTAACATCTTGAATCTCTGTGTAGACCTGTTCTTGAAACAAATTACCATGTCATTAGGACCTTGATTCAATGTGTGCATATATAGATTACAGAGCATTAGATTTTAGAGTTCACCTTATTGTCCCAAGAAGATCTGTTCCAAGGATTGTTCCAGCCAGCATCATGTCATATTGTTTTCCTAACTCATTTGTGCCACGGTACACTACAGCTGCGTGGAACCACTAGCTGTGCCGGATCTTTTAACATGGAGGAAGCCACCCCACTGGCCATTTCCAATCTCTGACGGGTATGGGGCAGGTCCGAGATGCCCCAACCAATCGTTGCTGCCAACAAGCGTGATTGTATCCCCAGTAGCGTTGTAAACCAGGCAGAGTGTCGAGACTCCAACCCCCCACTCTCTCTTCAGCTTCTCCACATACTGCCGGGCGTTCACGTCCTTGTTCTCTGCATTTTTCATTTGCATGGCTACCTTCGCTCTATCCCTTTTGGTTACCCTCTTTCCTATGTACTCCGGTAATTCCTTCAAGGTTTCATCAGTGATGAGGTTTCCAAACACGTTGCAAGCCATGTTTCCAATAGCTTCAGACTTCTGCAAATCTAGAAATATAAATGTACACAGACAGAATCTATTCTTGGAGTACAAAAAATAGGGATCTGTTCTTTGGTATCAGTTCATACTTCAATCCAAGGAAAATCAAAATATCTTCTTGGCATATTTAGATTCCAACATGATGGAAAACAATTCAAAAATACTTTATAAACTTTCTTTTGCGTTTGAAAGATTCCTAGATGCAAAGCAGGGTTGGAACTTGGGACTTTGAAAATCACATGCTCTTTTTTTGAGTGATAGAGAGAGTGAACAACTGAAGAATAACAGAATAGAAGCAGAGAAAAAGCTGGTTCGACGACAAACCACTTTGAATCCATTCTTTGCTTTTGAAATGGCAAAATTGACCCGACCCGAAATTTAGTCCAATTTGCCAACATGAGTTGGCTCTTGAGTCCATAGTATTGAATTAATATGCGAGATATGATTTAGACCGAAATTACTTAAATTTGACTAGATTAATTTAATATCAAGATAGGTTAATCAGAAATAATCTAATTAAAATTTGTTAAATTTTTAAAATTTAAAATTTTAATTAATTATATTTTTAATTTGAATTAAAAATGTAAATAGTTATTATTCATTAAATTATTAGAGTTAACATGAATTTATTAAATTTTTTTACTAAATAATTAATTAATATTAAAATTTTTAAAGAGAAAACATGAGAAATATTAAAATTTATTAAGTTTAATATAAATTATTTAAAAAATTAAATCTACCCAACCCAATATAACATCCGTGTGGATATGTTATGCGTCTTTCACTTATATCCAAGACGTAGATTCACCCAACATGATAAACTAGAGACCAGGCTGCTCTAATCTGAACCCACCCAACCGGTCTCGTTTGGCCAAGTCTTCTTTGCTTTCGTTTCATACTTCAATCCAAGGGCAGAGTTTATTTTATACAATTCATTAGTTGTGTTTCTATCATACTTTTCTTTGGAAAGATTCCCAGACGAAAGGTTGCAAATTTAAAATTAGATGCTCTGTTTTTTGCTAACACAAGAGTGTAAAAATAACAGAACAGAAGTGGGGGAAGCCGCTCCCATGGTTGACCTGATCATTTTGAACGAAGAACAGCTGCGAAAGCTTGCTACCGTGGTTTACTACAGGGAAGTAGCCGCAATCAAAAGCATCCAATTTGGTTCATAACAGGAACGCGTGAAATACCTTAGAGATTGCAGGAGTAACCACGAATCCATAATGGGGCTTTTGGACGCCGGTATCGGATTGAAGGATGGATTTCAGGATGATGAGGTTAAGGATCCAATTGCTCATGACGTCTTCTCTTACGTCAAAAGCTGCGTCAACAGTGCACTTCAGACGGTCCGGTACTACGCTCTACGAATGAACTCTCTGAAGAAGATCGAGGAACACAGTAACATTCTGATGGATGCAGTGTGGATGCTGGACCCGAATAACTTGGAGAGCGTCAAGGGACTGGCGATGGAAGCAGTGCAGTACAAAAATGCTAAGTTGGAGTATACCAGGAAGCATCAGAGCGGAGTAACGCGCATCTTCTCGAAATGGGTCAAGGAGAAAGGCTGGACATAACTTAGGCGTTGACACATAACATGACAGGTTATTTTATCATGGATTCCTTTTATTTAAGCGGTAACACATAACATGTATCAATTTGTTTAAAATAATAATACATAACATAAATTTTTTTTTTTTTGTTTTCCAGTTATTTTAGTTTAACTATATAAATTAACAGGCATCAATTCGTTTAAGTAATAACTTAGGCTGATAGAGACTATCCCAAAGCTCTCCTTGATGGCGTCGATGTTGCTGGACTCGTTGGAATCTTGCGCCAATTAGGCGATCTCGCTGAGTATGTTTCTCGCGTTCTTATTTGATTTTGCTCTTCAATTTTGGGGATTGATGGTGTTTCTAGTGTTCAATGAAAAAATTTGGAAATTGATTTTTGTTTTAATGTTGAGTTTCATAGTATGTATAGATTGAACTCTGAAGAATGTGAGGATTGATTGAACTGCAGGGGAAGAATTTAGGCAAGCTAAAGCTATATTGTTTGTTAGTTTTTTTAAAAATTTAAGGGAATTGAATGTCTGAGAATGTAATTTCTTCCACCTCCCCAACGATCCAAGCGAGCTGGGTTCCTCGCGAACCCAGGCTCTTGGGTTCGCCTAGAGGTAAAAAAAAAAAAAGAAAGGCTGGAGGAAGGAGAAGCCGAAGAAGAAGACGAGAGTATATCAATAATTAAAAGTAAAAAATTTAACATGTCATTAATTTTTGTCACATGGATTTTCCACATAATTTCGTAAAAAAAAAAAGAATAAATGTTTCTAGGAGATTGTTAAACTTCATGGGGTCCCAGTGAGCATTGTATCAGACAAAGATCCAAGGTTTACTGCAAGATTTTGGAGATCCTTCCAGAAAGCCATGGGAACTCAATTGAAATTAAGCACAGCATACCACCCACAAACCGATGGGCAGTCTAAGAGGACTATTCAAGTGCTCGAAGACATGCTAAGAGCGTGTGCATTAGATTTGCCTGAGAGTTGGGATGATCATCTTCCATTGGTAGAGTTTGCTTATAATAATAGCTATCATTCCAGTATCAAAATGGCACCTTATGAGGCTCTTTATGGCAGGAGATGTAGAACTCCAATTTGTTGGGCAAAAGTTGGTTATGGAAGGGTAATGGGGCCTGATTTTGTGCAGCAAACAACAGAAAAGGTGAAATTAATTCAGCAAAGGCTTAAAGTGGCTCAAGACAGACAAAAGAGTTATGCAGACAATAGAAGGAGACCTCTGGAATGGAGATTATGTATTTTTGAAGGTGTCACCAACTAAGGGAGTGTATCGGTTTGGTTTGAAAGGAAAACTCAGTCCAAGGTACATTGGCCCGTTTAAGATTCTTGAAAAGGTAGATGAAGTGGCTTACAGGATTGCATTGCCTCCAGAATTATCAAATGTGCATAATGTATTTCATGTGTCGGTTTTGAGGAAGTATGAGCCAGATCCTTCACATGTCATAAACTATGAACCATTGGAGTTGAAGGAAGATTTGAGTTACACCAAACAGCCAATACAGATTTTGGATAGGAAAGAAAAAGTTTTGAGGAACAAGACTGTGTCCTTAGTGAAAGTGTTGTGGCGGCATCATTCTGAGAATGAAGCTACATGGGAACTTGAAAGTCAGATGAGGGGGTAGTATCCAAATCTATTTTGGTAAGCTAAATGATTTGGTGGGCCAAATCATTTTAAGGTGGGGAGGATGTAACACCCCATATACCTTAGTGAATAATTTAAAAATTAGTGTCCTTTAGTTTATAGTTTTAGGATTAAAATGATTGAATTTAAAGTTTGGGGGTTTTAAGTAGAATGTAATAGAAGTTGAATGACCATAACTCAATTATCTCAATTTTGCTTACCACGTGGCATTGTCCCAACCAAGTTCTTTTTTTTTTTGTCGGTGGAAACTTGAATATGCCTCTAGAAGGCTCCCAAAAGCCCCATTTTGTTTTCCTATGCCTTCCTCTTCTACCTACATCCGTTTCTTCCTCTTTTCTCCAACCAAGGTTAAGGTGCTTTTTGTTAGGAAAGTATAAGTTTTAGTTATGAATTTTGGGTTAGAGTTTTGGGTAGTTTAAATTGGTAAGATTTGACTCTAATCCTTTGAGTTATAAGATTTTTGGGTATTAAAATTTCATTAGAAATATCCTTAATTTTGGGGCTTACATGGGAAAGACCGTGAGTTAGTCCTTTTTATGTTTGATTTGAGTGTGAATTTTTGCTACAGGAATTATAAGTAAATTGTACTGTTTACAAATTATTGTTCATGATTATTGTTCACGCACTATGCTTTGATCTCTTTCAATAGGAAGTCATAATATTATGTTGGACATATTATGAATTTGTTTGACATGCGTATGTGTTCGTGGCTATGGAGTAAGTGGACCTAAACTTAAAATTTGGGGTATTCAGTGGACCCTTCAAGGTATTTAGTGGACCTCTACGCAGTAGGGTTAGTACTGTGATTAGCTCCAGTACAGTGTTGCTAGCACACCTCAGTGGACTCCATAGCATTGTGTGAGTTTTGATTTTATGCATTGCGCTTGTGACTTCGTATTTGTGAGCATATGATTTTAGTATATGAATTCAATTTAAATGTCATTGATTATTACTTGACATTTTTGCTTACGATTTGAGATATTAAGTCATTATTTAAATAGTGAGAATTATAATATTATGTGATTTGATTCCGTTGTGTCTTATGCTCTTTGTGTAGATAGGTCTAAGGGTCTTAGGACCCAAGTTTATAGCTTAAACTTATTACTTACTGGGCTATTAGGTCATAAAATTCCCCCCCATTTCAGATCAGTAGATCGAGGTAGCAACCTCTCGGTTTATGAGCTTTTGGCATGGGACTCACATGCTCATTGTATGTACAAGCTAGGGCCTCGTGTTTTCGATAGGGAGGCAGATCAATGTGTTACCAAAACAATGACTCAGCTTTTTTTTTTTTGAAAAGCTTTGGAGAAGAATTTGCTTCATATAATTTTTGTGTAAATTACCTTTATGTATAAAAAACTTTAAATTAATTATAAATGAGCTTAGCTCGACTTATTTTATAACTTTGAATATTTTGGCATTTTTTCAATATATATATATATTGACTTGTTAAAATGATTTTCCTTTATAGATATTTATGATCTTTTTTTTTTCAAAAGTGTTTTTATTTTCGCTGCAATTCTTTATTATAAATTTTATTTCCGAACTCCCTGAACTAAAAGTACTTAAGGAGGTGTGTTATACAAAAGCCTTTACTCAGTGGATTTTTTTTTAAGCGTCTTGCATTTGAAAGCATTTGAAAGCCTTTACTCTAGAATTTGGCAGTTGTGATTTATATGTTCTTTTATAATGGTATTTTTGAGATTGGCTTTCTCAAATGCAAAGAGATGTCCTAACTTTGAAAATTGATGATGCTCTGTGTAAAAAATAACAGAACAGAAGAAGCAGAGGAGTAGCAGAGTCCTCCAATGGCTGGCCTGATCATTTTCAACGAAGAACTGCTGCGAAAGCTTGCTTCTGTGATTTACCACAAGGAGGCAGAGGCAATCAAGAACTTCCAATTCAATTCTTAACCAGAATGCGCGAAATACCTCAGCAATTGCAAAAGTAACTACGAATCCACAATTGGGATTTTGAATGATGGCCTTGGATTGAAGGAAGGATTTTAGGATGACGAGATCAAAAGTCCAATTGCTCATGACATCTTCTCTTACATCAAAAGATGCATCAACAGTGCACTCCAGGCCGACTGAAACTACACTCTTCGTATGAGCTATCTGAATAAGATCAAGGAACACTCCAACGCTCTTATAGATGCACTCAGGAAGCTGGACCAGACGAGTCCAACCAACGTTCAGAGTCTGGCTATGGAAGCAGTGCAGTACCAAACTGCTATGTTGGAGTATACCAAGAAGCGTCAGAGTGAAGCATCGAGTATCTTCTCGAAATGGATCAAAGAGAAGGGCTGGACCTTTGACGAGCTCGTCAAAAGGTTAATTGATTTCTTTTTTTTGTTTGTTTCTAGTAAAAGAGGGAAAAATTAGTAGAACATTTTCGTTTATTCATTCAGGCTTTTTGTCAAACAGATATCAGGCGATGCTAGGATTGAACAGACCGTTCAAGAACCTGAAAGAAGTGGAAAAGCTACAGTTTACGAGGAAATTATTGAAGCTTCAGGGTGGGGCAGAGCTGTAGTGAACCAAATATCGATGACATCGGAGTAGCAGGGATCGCCGTGCTCCACTTCACTGCAGGGAGCTGGGTGTGGGGCATATATATACCATCAGAGCACAAGCTTGAGACGGTGAGTAGAGATATCCTACAGGTCGCATCGGCAACGGGCGGTGCGATGTTGGGAGAAGTGGTGGCGGCTGCCTTGCAGACCGTCATCGTTGCTACGTGGCTCCAATGCCTGATGGAGTGGTCCTTGCTCGTCAAATTGCCCATCAAGATTCTGTGGCTGCTAGATTTTCAACTCTGGTGGAGGTCACCTACGGCCATCACTGCAAATAAAATAAAACTAGCTTCCACTATCCTGCAATGCGTGCTTCCCACTATGTCCCTATGCTATAATTTGTGATGTAAAACAGTTTTGTATTATGTTTCTATGCTACGAAACTAGTTTTCCCACACCACACTAATGTATTATGTTTTTACGTTATAATTTGCAAAGCAATGCATTGTAAATTAATTTGAAATTTAAAAAAAAAAAATTGCATATAATGTAGTTTGAACTTTCCTTTATTCATCTGTCAATATTTCCATATTCAACTCTAGAGGTTGAATTATGAGATGGATAGAGAGGGGTTTGAGAAGGGGATTAATTGCTAAGGGTGATCACGGTGTAATTTGATTCGTATTTTAATATTTTTTAAATTAATCTAATTTAATTAGTTAGTAAAATTTGTAAACTAATCCAATCTACTATTATATGATAATCAAACTAATCCAACTTAAATCGGATCAATGTGATTCAGTCAGATTGTTCGGTTTTTAACAATATTAAATATATGAGATAATATAAAAAATTTTAACATTAAGTAGAAAATGTAACTATAAAATACATTAACATCCAAATCACTAAAAACATAATAAAATATACAAATTATAAATAAGTTATTATACTCACATACAATTGTAAAGATTAAAAAGATTTGGAAATTCTTCTTGACTACATCACCAAAAGCACCAAAGATAATCAAACATGATTCTAAGTGTTAAATATAGTACAGATAATTCTTAAAAGTCAAAACTAATTTTTTTTCCTTAATGCACCAAACAATTCAATCCCATCTTCCAAATCCTTTTAACAGCAAATAAAATTTAACATAAATATCATTAGGAATGATTAGAAGCATTCATAATTAAGATTTAAAACTCCTCAACCAAATATCCAAGAATAGTAGAATATCAAAATTAATTCTATTATATAGTTTTAAGATTTTTAAAATGATACTTCTTAAAGTTTAGTTAGGAGACTCAAAATATTATTTTAAGAACAAATTAAAAATTTAGGGTTCTAAAAGTAGAGTTGTAGACTAGTTATGAGAGATACAATTGTAGGTGAATTGAAAATTTAGAATTAGGATAACAGTACACAATTTAAAAAGGAAAATAAATTAGAGAAAATGGGAATATTTTATTTTTATTTTTTTAATTAAATTAATGAAGTTATTATCTTATAAAATAAGAAAAAAATTTAAAATATTACAAAAAAATACTATATTATTTAATTAAGTTATCTTATAATCGAATTTTATTTTGTAATCGGGTGGTTCAAACAATTTGAAAATAAAACCACAAACCAAACCAATTATATCAATTTTAAAATTTTATAATACAAACCAATCCAATTTTATATCGATTTGATTTGGTTTTTTATTGGGTTGAATTAATTTAAGTTAGATCAATCGGATTAGATCGGATGTAAATACCTCTACATGTTGCCATTTAAAGGCCGTTTCAATAATTAAGAGCCTTAATCTCCATATTAAAAGTCTCAGGTTGAATTATGAAATGGATTGAGAAGGGTTTGAAAAGGGGATTATTTCATGTTGTATAATACATCGTGAAACCTAACAAAAACCCAATTTCAAATCCGGGAAATACCCAACTCTAATTTCAACCCAAATGAAAAGAAAAATATAAAAAATTGTTAGAATTTGCAGTTTAGAAGTCTGATCAGGACCATCAGATAAGGAAGGGTCGTCCCTATATCAGAGATCTACTCTGAACGAATGTTTAGTTTTGTACAATTTAATAGGAAAGGGTGTTTGCAGAATGAGAGAGGGTGAATAGTTGCAATAAATGGGCGGTTAAAAGATGGTTTTGTGAGAGTAGTAAAACAGGGTAGGGATACATTTTCCTAGAGAGGTAAGCTTGAAGAAAAAATTCCCAAGATTATACTCTATAGCTTCAAATAACAAATCAAAGTGGCGAAGATAGGAGGTTGGTGTGAGGGAGTGTGGGAATGGAAGCGGAGTTGGCACAGGGAATTATTTGATTCGGAATCTAGCAGTCTACAGAAATTGGAGGATCTTTTGGGGATGATGTGTCTAGTGCAAGGAGAGAGATTTTTGGGCATGGAAATGAGAAAGCAATGGAAGGTACACTGTCAAGTCAGAATATCAACAAATATTTCCTTCACAGCAAACTCAGGCTAGAAGGAGTTTTAAGTAGATTTGAAGTGGCCTGGTCCTCTTGAAGGTATCAGCCTTGTCGTGGAGTGCTCTCCACATGACAGATTACCAACAAGGACTAATTTGGTTAATTAGAAGAGGTGTGATCAAAGATAGTGGAGGGGCTAAGTACTGGATGTGTTCCGCAAAGGATGAAAATATAAGCCATCTGTGGTACGAGAGTTTTCATTTGATTAAATGACCACTTAAATTAATATGGTCAAATTCTTTACTTACACCCTAAACAAGATACAACTTTTTATAAAAACTTCTGGTGTTATTAAGTAGTATATTTGACAACAACAAATATGTTGTAAAATATTAAATTTAGAAATAGCTAAAGTTGCTACAATATATAATTTTTTGTGACAACTTATAATATCGCTTAATGATATATTTGGCAACCACAAATATTTATTGCAAAACATATTAGTTTTAGGAGCTAATAAAGTTGTTACAATATGCAATTTTTTGTGACAACTAATAATGTTGTTTAATAATATATTTGGCCATCACAAATATTGGCACTAAAAGGTAATACCATAACCACTAATTCAATGTTGCCATTAGTTTTTACCTACATCTCATAAGCATAGATATTTTTCTTTACCTATAGTTTTTAAACATGTGTATAGGGTCATTGACCTTTTACATATGAAATGTAAAAGGTTAAAACTCTTTTTTCGTTCTTCTTCTTTAATATATAAAAAAAAAAAAATTAGTTCCTCAACCTAAAAAAATCTATTTCTAGTCTTTAAAGTTTAAAATTTGGCTTATTTTTAATCCCTCCGTTATCTTTTTGCATAAATGTCACATTTAATAATAAAAATTTTAAAGCAAAGAGACTAAAAATAGGTTTTTTTTTTTTAAATAAAAGACTAAAAAAGGGTTTTTTTAAGTAAAAATATCAAAAAGTGGTTTTTTTTAATCCCTTTTCATCTCTTTACTTTAAAATTTTTATCATGTAACGTATTACATGTGTAAAAAGTAACAAAATGAATAAAAAGAGGTCAAATTTTAAAATTTAGGGACAAAAAAAGAGTTTTTTTTAAATAGAGAGATTAAAAAAAATTATTAAAATAGAAAGACCAAAATAAAATTTTAACCAATGTAATACCGTAAGAATATGACTACAAGCGTAACTAAATATCTATAGCTATACCATATGTACTTACACATTTCTATCTATGGGTATAAGCCTTGAGAGAGCAATACCTACTGTTTTTTGCCATATAGTTATGCTCTTTGTCCATAGCTATATTGCAAATTTGTTGCAGTGATTAATGGTTTTGTTGAATAACTGAGAGTACTCGACTATAGGATTTGGCATTCCCAATTTTACGTAGATGTCTTACTATTTTTTTTTTTTTTAATGTCAAATGAATTACTATATAATAGTGAATAATTCTTTCCTTTTCTTACCCTTTCACACATGTTTTAACATTTTAAACTCAAGATTTTCAATTTAAATTCTTAAATTTTTAACTACTCATGACACCCTCAGCTGTGATGTCTTACATTTTATAATAAAATGTTCAGGAAAGTGCATTATTCTTGAAATTAGGGGATAGCTCGATCATCCAAATAAAAATAAAAGTAAAAATAGTGTAATTAGTACTATTTTGAAACCCTCAATTTTGTTAAACGAATCTGTGTTAACATACCGTCCGTACGTAGAAGAACTAGGAATCTTTTTTCTTTTCTCTTTTCTCTTTTTTTTTTTACATTGAATAGTTTTTTTCTGTTATTTGAACAATTATCATGAAAGCAAATTGAACCGTTACTCAAGAGAAAAAAAAAATAAATCTTTAGAGTAACGGAAGTCACTTGACCTTATGGATCAGGTTCTATTACATTGAATAATTAGTTACGGAAGTCACTTGACTCTATGGATCAAGTTCTGTTTTTTGAATAATTATCATGAAAGCAAATTGAACCGTTACTCAAGAGAAAAAAAAAGTAAATCTTTATAGTAACAAAAGTCACTTGACCCTATGTACCAGATTCTTTTACATTGAATAGTTAGTTATTTGTATAATAGAGGTTTAAATCCTTACTTTGACCTAAAATTAGAGTTTTTAATTAATACATACTAATTTAACTAAACACTTGATGATATTAAGAATTTGTTAAACTCAAGTAAAACCCCACTTGTTCATCAGATCATTACATTTTCGATAATATCCCACGTTTTGTCGAAATGATTAACTTCTCGAATCTCTCTGCGTAGACTTGCACTTTGAAATGACTAATTGATTTTTTTTAAATATAAGTCATTTAATTTTTTGTAAATAATTTTAAGTACCATTTTTATGTATCTTATATATGATAATTGAATTTTTTTACTCACAAGTTGGGCCTGATCGGATTGGTTTAGGATCAATTCTGTCAACCCTCAAATTATACTCCTATAACCCTAACACAGAAAAACCGTCCTCAAGCCCGTCCTCTTGCCCCATTGTCAATAACAACCCAGTTGAATTCTTTTTAATAAACAATTAAATATCCACATAAATTTAGAATGATGCATTTTCAATTTGGATATATTTATTTTTAGAGATAGTTAATATTTTACGGTCCGCACTCTATGTAATATATATTTTATAAAGAGATATCATTTCAATAACAGAAAGTCTATCACTTATTAATGATTATCAAATAGATAATCTACTTAGGACAGACTGTACATCACATCTCTATTATTTTTATATCTACTAACGGGCTTTTTGAGCATCCTTTGTTTTATTAAAGTCTAGGATTAGGCATTCCCAATTTTATGTTGACGTCTTACTTTTTACAACAAAAAATATCAAAAAAATTAATGTAATTGGTTGAATGGAAAACTGATTTGAAACCCTCCATTCTCCCAATATTTTCAACAAACCTGTTGTAGAGGAATGAGTTATCTGGAACATCCATTCCAGAGTTCCTACTACTACCCAGGTTGCTGACAAGTTGATATTAAGATACAATATGGTACGTATCATGCCAAGGAGAAATTGGGAAGTGGGAAACGCATTTTAGGGGAAGAAGCATGATCTCTTACATGTTCTCATTGTACATTGATTAGCTCCTTGATCAAGACACCTGATACAGGAAAGACAAGATTCTACTCTTCTCATGTTCTCTATCTCCATCATGCTCACCTAGGAAGTTTGCTCATGCAAGATGCTATTAGGGATAAAACAGAATGTTATAGTGGAAGAGAATATCCTCGGAGATATGTTGAATCAACACCAGACTCCCGCACCAGTGCTACTCTTCCAGTCCGTGCCACCTTCAACAGGGAAAAGAATGCATCAATTAATAGTTAGAGGAATATGAGTGTCACACTGGCCACAGGGTTCTAATTGTGTATGTAACGAATAGGGAATGAATTTAAGTACCTCACATATCCCAAAGGGTTCTAATAATCTCTGCAGGGCAACCATTTTGTTGTAGTCACCAGTCAACTGGAGAAAAAATGAAAAACTTGAGAATCAGTACACTAATGGAGGGGGGGCGGTGGTATGGGGAACAGCTAGGGGTGGGCAAAAACCGGTTTCGGTTAAAACCGAAACCGGTTTTGAAATAACCAAAAAAATTTTTCCTAATTTTGACAACCCAAACCAAACCAAAATTATCAAAAAACCAATCAATTCGGTTATCAATAAATCAGTTTTAAATCGGTTCGGTTTCAGTTTTTGATAATAAATAATAATCAATTATTTTGCTAATAATATATTATATTTTATCACATATTTTATCATATTTATCTTAATTTTAGTTTTAAATGACTTATTTTCGGTTTATTTTTGGTTTTTGGTTTTTGAGAGACTCAACCGAAACCAAACCAAAATATATTTGGTTAACACTAAAACCAAAAAAATAAAACCAAAAACCATTGAAACCAAATCAAATTCATTTTTTCAGTTCAGTTTTCAGGTGAACAATCGGTTCGGTTAAAAAATGCCCAGCCCTAGGAACAGCGTTCCAAACACGACAGGAATTCAGAGCACCTAGAAACGTGTTGAAGTATCAAAAGATCTTGTGAATTATCTCACCTGAAGAGTAATTGTGTGATCAGACACATCAACAGCTTTTGCTCGGAATATGTTAGCAATATCAAGGACATCCCTCCGAGCAGCAGCGTTCGCAGCAATTTTTATCAGCATCAGCTCTCGCTCAGCAAACGGTAAGTGGGTTATATCCCTCACCTACACAAACGGCCAGCTTCTTAATTTTTAGCAGTGCTTGCGAAAATTATAAATTCCTTAGCAAATTCCAGCAAGACAATGAAGATTTTAGTATATATGACTTGTGTCCGGCAACAATGCAACACAATGATGGACACAACTTATACAATATCTAAAATCAACCATCTAAGTAACTAATTTTCGAAGGCAAAAAAAAGTACTAATTTTCCTTTCGTTATTCAAACAAATTACAAAGGTAGCATAAGTTACCAACAAGATATCAGTTCAAAATCTCAACTAATCAAAAGCTTAATGCAAAACTAATTGAGGGATCATGCAAATGAATCCTTTTCCACAATAACATCTAATCAAGGGCTTTCTCACTACTTCAACGGTTCAACCTATGAAATCTTCAGCTATGCTGTTCTCTCTTTCATCCTCTACCTAAAGTAAGTCTCACACACAAGAGCATGCCTGGCTTATATATTGCATGCAAGCAACCCATCTAAGCTCTCTCTTGTACAGAATTGAATATATAAAAGATTAACATCTCAACAAAGGTTTCTTTTTAACAGCTATCTGATTTTTAATTTTTTCTCTTTTTAATTTTGACTTTTATATCCATTCAATCACTTCTAGCTAGATGCTGGAATTTTCAAATTACTTTTTGTACATAACCATGCCCTCACCTCATGAAGATCTATCAACTTGTGAAGTTGCTGAACCAACTTTCCAATTGATTCATCAGTTCCAGGAACAACAGTTGTAATGCGTGAAAAGCCATCCTTTTCAGCAGGCCCCACTGCTAGACTCTGGGAGAACAAAGTGTCATATTAGAAACTAATAAAAATTATGACAGATGCCAAGGGGCGCACAAAACAGAACAAAACAAACCTGAATATTATAACCTCTTCGAGATATAACCCCAGTTATTATGTTTAGAACACCAGGAGTATCATTCACAAGCATTAATAACGTATGTGACCGAAGCCCAGTTGACTGAAACATTAAATGAAGGATATAAGAAATGCAGTATATGAAGTAATCGATGATCAGTTACAAACTATGGTTTTGGCAGTCAAGTTCTGCTTTCACCACTATAGACTTTTCTATCCAAAGGGTGTGTCTAGTCCTTAGATAGGAAAGTCAGAAGTTTAACCCAATGGAGTAAAAAAACTAACAAAAAAGGTAAAGACAATGAAAGCAGCAGAAGACCTAAGCCTAAAGCTCAGTTCACTATCACATTAACAAAAAAAGTCAGATGATGAACTGATGAAGGCCTCAGGGATCATGTGCACTCAAGCCCACGTAAAAACCAATTCACCAGAAAAATAAACCTACCCATTGACGGACCAAATCATATTGTGATTAAAAAATCAGTCTAATGTTATGAACACCCAAAAGAAAACCTGCAACTGCCACATACAAGGTTTAAGAGCTTTCTAAACATTAAAATGTTCTAGGAGAAAAGGTTTAAAATGTCCACCTAAAGAAAAACTGACTTAATTCTCGCATCTGCAGAAATAGCCAAGTTGATAAAAAAAAAAAAGAGATCCATGTTTATAAGATTTGCAAAACTACAATACACTCATATTGAAACTTCAGAGGAAAGTATCTTACATCTTCATCATAAAGTGCACCCCAGTGAGCATCAAGAACTTGATTCATTGAGAGGTCATTGTAAGGTTCCACGGGATATACATCACCCTTCACAAAACAAAAGGCAAGAAGATTTAATGTGATAAAAGATAATCAATGGCTATAATTTAAAAGAAACATATAGATAGGAAAGCATAGCAGAGTCAGTGAAATGAGGGTGAGAGTTTGCATCAGGGACTTTGATTCATCAGGAAAGAAAAAAAGTAGAAGAAGAAGAAAGCAAATTAGCATCACGGGAACTTTAATACATCAAACAATTGAACTTGCTTGTTTACCTGTTAGTTTTAACAATTCAATCAGAAGACATGGCGTTTTATCCATTCATGACTTCTTCTTATATCAGGTTCAATATGCGAGAAAAAGATATGCACAATCTAGATCATGGTTGTAAAGGATAATTTAGAGCCTGTTTGGTGGAGCTTTTACTTTTTTTTTGTACTGTTTATGAGTGATAAGCTTAAATTTTTATTGGAGGAAAAATTTAAAAGTCACTTTTAGAAATAGAAAAAAGTGAGTAAGAAGTGAGCAAAAAGGAAGTTTATAAAAAGCAAAAGTTTGGAGTTTTTCAAAATTTACTGTTTAAGGTCTTTTTAAGGTTAAAAAGAAGTTAAAAAATGTAAGTTTTTAAGAGGAAAATTTAAACTTGTGAAACATGAATAGTGTCAAAAAGCTGAAGCACTTACAAGCTTCACCAAACATGCTCTTAGTTCATTAGACTCTAAAAGAGCTCAAAGAAAAAATCCTTTAGGTTTTATGACTAAATATAAATAAAATAAAATGAACATCATCATAACTATTTAGTTTATCAAGTTAATTTTGGAATAGGTTTCGCTCATCTTTTTGGCCATACAATTCATATTGCAGTTTTATGTTGGTCATGACAATCTAACTAAACCATTGTTCTTGATCACAATAATCATTAGGCTTTATCATTGTATTATTAATTTCCACAAGTTGATTCTACTGGGTAAGACAAAAGGCAAAATGAAGTATAACAATAACCATATATTTCCAGCTAAACATATAAGAAAATTTTTCTAAAAAAATAAGGAAAATTAAAAATTCTTAGGCCAGCATGGGTCGGTATCTAAAGAGTAAGCTACTGTATGAGAACCCACCAGCATGAGATTCAAATTAAAAAACCTATAGAGCAATTTTTAAACATTAAAGAAACAAAAAGAAAGGCATCAAATATATAATTAGCATGGAAGCACTAGAACAGAAAAAGTAGATACCCCCACAGTAGTGCTACTATTGCTATCAAGTGATTGATTCTGATTCTGTAGAACAACACCATTAGATGTCTCTTCAAGATCTGGATAGGACAATGCAGAAAATCTCCAAAAGGGAGCTGTCTCGCCCATCTTTTCCCGCCTCAAAGCAATCTAATATAAAGAGTCAAAACAAACCTTGTCAACCATATAAATTAGTATAATAGTAATAGGACTATAAATTAAAAAAGGAAGGAAAATGATGAATATATAAATATATGCTTCTGTATGATTCTAACATATCTAGTTGTAAGTTTGAGACATATGAGAGGTTTTTTTTCTTTTTCTTTTTTTTTTAAGTACATTTGGAGTTAGCTGCTTGGCATTGCAAGGGTTTTAACCCTTAACCATGACCCCAAATCAAGGTTTTTAAGTTAGTAGGTACCAACTTGTCCAAGATGTTGGTATATAAGAGGTTTATGAAATAAAGTAAAGAATGTAGCATATCAGCAAAAATTACAATACCCTAACCCAGATATGTTTAAATGTTTCAGATCTCAAAACCTTCAAAACACCAGGCAAACAAATATGAGAATCCAACCTGATTATAGACCTGACAAGTAGACTCTTTCATCATGTTAGCCTTTAAATTTACAAAAATTTAAGAAATCAGGGGATATGATAGTGAATCCTGATAAAATATTTGTATGGATATAAATATGTTATCAAGTTTTAGAACCCTACATGGTATCAATAAAAAATCGCAAACTCATCCCCCATCCCATATAATATTTGAAAAATTGGAGCCATTAGAGCTCTGTACATTTCAAATACCCTAATAAAACCCCACCTATGGCTTTCCTGGCACAAACCCTTTACAAATTGCTACTAGGTAAAAAATCCAAATGATTAGTAATTCATCCATAAAATTCTGCACCCTGTAGTCCACTTTGTTTGGCCTTCACCCCCTAGTGCACCTGTATTGTTGTACCACCAAAAAAGTAATCCACTGAAAAACACATTATCTCAATCCAAGTCAACCTGAATTTCAACCAAGTTCATTTTCCTCTGTTCAATCCACTTAAAATTATGTCCCATCATTGGATACTTAACCAAATAAAATAACTACCAAGAAAGGAAGAAATAGGAGATCAGGAACTATGACCATGGTATTGTTGATGACGAGCCTCAGACAAAAAATAAAATCTCTTGTTGTCCAAATAAGCCAAAAATACTGAATAGGAGACAGTTATTTTCTTTATGACTTTACTATTACTATTTAATTCCACAGATAAATTCCTTTCTACTCTAGGATAGGGATTGATAAATATGTAGCAACATTTTTCCACATACACTATCTATATCCATGTGTCTATCTGGCAATACCACAATGGCTTCCTTACCTTTCCAGTTCTTGCAAGTTCTTTTATTCCAAACTTGCTCAAGTTTCTCTGAACAGCAACCATCTTACCAGGATCCCCAGTGACCTGAGGCATCCAAATGATTTAACAGCATAAACACACTAGACCACAACCAAAATATAATGATAAATTCTTACATTGATTCCATAACAAAAAATAATATCCCACTATAGGTTAAGAAGAGATCAAAACCAACAAATGTCATATTGAAGAACATAACAGCAGCAATTAAATACATTACAAAAAAGAGTAACTTGAAGCAACAATGATATATAATGCTCAGAATTTCACTACCAAATAATTAATTTCTCATCCCACAAGAAGTTGTCCCCATCACTCAGTTCCCTTAGCATTTTCTTCATGAAATCATGAAGTTTTCCCAAGGTAGCTCTAAGCTCTATCAAATAAGCATCAGAAATTCATGAGGGTTCCATGATATAAACCATTTTTGTTCATCCATGAAAGTAGTTAGAGCATTGTTATCATCATGAGGCTAACTACATAGATTTTTGGCATTTATTTCAGAAGCATGAATGTCTAACATCATTTAGAATTATAAGCTCCATCAGGTAAGGTCTTTCCGCTGTAAGTTTACATGAAATGTTCATATAACAGGCTAGGACTTGCACTATAAAACCACTTATATTTCATGAATCCTCCAACTGCACTTTCAAAGGGTATATTTTGCTTAAATACAACAGTAAGTCAATGCAATAGATTCTGTAAAAGTTAGTGTCATTGACATTTGTACTGTACATGTACAGAGAACCATATCTAAGTCCCAAAATCAGATTGTATGAATGAGGAAGCAATTAGAAAATGTTCAAGGACCTAATCACCTCAATAGTCAGAAAGTGTTCGGAGGCATCGACAATTTTAGCTCTAAAGATGTCCACCAGCCACATTATCTGAAAATTAAAGCATAGGAGACCAGGAGTTCAAAAACAGAAAAAGAGAAAGCAAATCACATGAGAAGAGAAGTTTCCATCAACTCTAAACTAAAAGAAAATTCCCATTGACTTATCTGAAAGAGAAAGGGGATCAGAGACTACTTAAATTCCAATAGTTCAGAAGGCAACAAACATTAGGTACATGTTGAGAAATGTGACATTACCTCAGCACGAGTGCTAGGATCAGCGTTAAGTTTTATAAGCATCAGTTCACGTTCTACTTGCGGTTCTCTTGAAATATCATCCACCTGATATATCAAGTAATATAATCAATAACGATGCACTGCATCAAGAAAATAGAACAGGCACTCCCAAAACCCAACACATTTACAAGCATTTATAAAAGTCTACCTGAGTTGAAGTGAGTGAATAAATTTCTAGGTGTTTTAGACTAGGTAGCAAAACTTCTAACAAAGTTAATGTCTTTTCTTTTGTTTTATTTTTCTTCCCTAGTTGAAGGAGTATGTAATTGTAAATATGTTGCTATTCTATACTAGGTTGCAAAATTTCTATGAAGTTAATATGCATTACTTGTAAAACCACTTCCTCAGAAAAATAATTTTGATCCTTGAAGATAGTAACAGCATCCAACAAAACAACTAAATAAAGTCCTTTTATGAAAGTTGTCCCATTAATCTCATCTGTAGAGGAAACTAGTAGAAGAAGTCATGCAATTAATTAGTTAAATTATATTTCAGCATAAGTACCTGGAGTTAGAATTCAAATTCTTCTTAAGGGAAGCTGCCTGAAGAAAAAAGCATAGCATAGGTGCAATGGTATTGGTTCTAACCTTTATGACATTCACAAGCTTGTTAAGTTGTTCTACTACTTGTTGCAAAACCCTTTCAGTCCCTGAGACAACTATGGTAAAGAGAGCCTTGTCCTTGTTCAAACCAACAGCAAGAGACTCAATGTTATACCCCCTCCGGGCAAAAACCCCAGCAATCCGGTTTATTATACCACTCTCATCACCAACAAATACTGAGATTGTGTGGCGTCTCACCCTGAATCAAATGAGAAATAGGAAATAACAGCAATGCTAAACAAAACATACACATGTAACTAGTCACTTCATAAGAGCTAAACTGCCACCATCAAATTCACACCTCAAAAGTTTAAATCTACAGAGTGAAATTTGATGAGAAGAAGGAAAAAATTCTCGACCAAATAAAAGGAAATTAATCAAACAGTTATTTTTTATTCCAGTCATCTCTTAGTCTCTAACAAGTCCCCGTATAAATCCGCCTTTTTGTGCAAAGACTACTGTTTAACAATGCACCACTTGCATAATCTGCTTGACATCACCCAAAAGTACATAAGTGGAGAGGAAGACAAAAATGCATTGCAGTTGTTCTTTAAATGTGCAGGATTCAAAGAAGTTTGGGAAGTGGTATTGGTGAAGCTATGCAACAGCAGGAGTATCACAGTAAGAAGGCTGAAAATTGCTTTTGTCATTATTGTCTATACATTGTGGATGGCAAGGAATAGAAGCGTTTTAGCAGATGAAAATTTTGATGGCCATACTCTTGTACGACTTATAGTTGCACAGTTTTGGTTACAATTGAGTGCACTGTAAATGCCTGGGGTATGCTCCAGTGATACATGTAATTTCTTTCCCCTTTGGGGGATTTTCAGGGAATGGAAGAAACTTGCACATTTCCTAAAAAACACTGGTTCTGAACAGAAATTCGTGTTCTTTTCAATTGTTAAATTGCATAGAAGATTTCTCTTCTAATCATTGATTAGAGAACCAAGATGAGGAAAACAGATAAGTTTCTACTCTAGCTATACATATATCTATCAAGCTCCAGTTTTCAACCAGAACATGGAAAGAAAACTGTCAAATCAAAGCAAGCAAATTTTAGCTACCACACAATAAACACCCAAACAAAAAG